TGAGATATGGCCTTTCTGTGATTTTTCGTATTTAAGGTATTTTGATGACTTTTCTTGTTTACAAAATATATGGATTCTGTCTCTTGTAGTCTTCTACTATCAAGCCTCTGCAGATTGCTCCAGCCTCATTCATGACAACCATTTATTTTATCATCCAATATCATGGGTAGTCCTTGCATACTAGCTAATTCCAGGAAAACTCAGTATCTCCTAGTCATGCTACAATGACAATCTGCTTTGCAGTCTTGTCTCTGTTCATATTTTTGTCTTGACCATCGTAGTATTTTTACTTTGCTTATCTTGTAATTGGTAACTTTTCATCTGAGATTTAGTTTTCTTGGTGACTGAGCTCTATCACCGAGATTTCCAGTTCAAGAGTCTGTTGTAGAAATTATAGTTTATTGCTCTTAGTTGTATCCCTCTTTCTGGCTGGACTAGATTTTTTTTTAAGGGTAAGCACAAAAGTCACATTTTTAATGGCTTTTTGAATTTCCATTTTTGGTGTGATCTATGGCATAGGGTGTCCAATGAACAGCTATTGAGTTAAAGTATGGCTATTGTCTCTTGAAAAAGAAGGATTATCAGCAGCTGTGATGAAGTCTGTAATGTGGATTCCAAACTAAGCTGTGAAGGTTCTTTTCAGAGAACCATCCTTTTCAAGGTCTCACCACACTCATACTAGCATCTTGGGCTCAATGCACAGAACTTTGCAGTTTTGAGCAACTATTTGTGATTGGAAAATGACCAACAAATTTAAGTAGCTAATTTTCTTAATAGATATTAGATTTTAAGTTTTGTAGACCTTAACACTATTGTTTTTCTGAATAAGATCTCAAAATGCTTGGGAATTAATCAGTTCAAGTTGGGAAAGGACATTTCTGTTTGGAAATTAAGGAAGGGAAATTAAAGGATGTCCCATTTATTATCACATTTAAAGTTTCATTTACTTTAAAGCTGCCATCCTGATATCATGCAGTCTGGATTAAAATAATTACTATGTCTAGAATTACTAAACTGACAGTTTTGCATGATTCAATAGTTTTACATTTAAACCACCATTTTACCACATTATTTTGTTAGTGATATGTGAAACTTTACATTAGCTTTGTATTTTGTCTTTTGTACAATTTTATAATTATATAAATGTTTACCAATTAATAGTTAAATATTCCTTTTAGTATCTGGTTATGTTATAATTTTGACTGAGGAAGGAATGCACAGTAATGATATTAAAAAAAAACTTAAGTTTTCTGATATAAACTGTATCACAATAAATGACTTATATACTTTAGAATATATAGAATTATAGCATGCTATAGATATATAGAATTAACTTAATGAAATATACAGAACTGAAATAAACTTTTCTGAATTACATATTCACAAAATAATTTAAAAATAAGTGGGGAAATGGTTTGGAAATAAGATTTTCCTTGTTCAAGCAACAAACACTAAGACAATTTTGTAGGAATGCATTAAGTGCTTTGGCCATTCAACTCACATATCTTTTAGCCTAATAATAGCTAAAAACTTTTAAGTAAATATATGTGATCTAATTTGTGTTATTAAGAAACAGTGAACAAAAATGGCAATAAAAGATATAATGAAATATAGTACTAAGAGGAAAAAAATCTTACTGGGCCCATTATTCATTCAATTTTTGGCAGCCTTTATGATTACAAATCACTTGATTGGCTAACTAGACATTCTTAGAATGAATTATGAATCAGATTCATTTTTCCTGCTTGATTGTTGGTACATGCTGTAATTCTACTTTGCAGTATATCAAATTTTCTAACAGAATAAGATATACAATCAACTCTTTATTTCAGGAAAACTAAATTGTCTTCAAAAAAATGAAGTACAGTTTTGAACAATTTTAACAACAGTATAATTTCTGCTTTTGTATTTCAAAACGGATTCATGATGATGAACTTATTTTTTCAGATAAAAATCATTAGGATGATTTGTTAATATTCATACACTTTCTATAAAATGATATCAGTTCTATAAGTCATTTGGGCGGTTGCCTGTACCCAGGCTGTAAAAATAAGTTATTTTCCTTTCTTAATACCAAAAAAAAAAAAAAAATGCACAGAGGAAGAACGAGGCTTAAAAAATACTTTTGCTAAAGGAAGTGTAGTTTTCCTTAAATGTCTAATTTGTAAAGAGGCCATGATGTTGCAAATTTAAAAAGAGGGAATATTCTAATGGTTAATAGGGAGGTCTCTTTCTGAGTAGGGCAATGGATCCCCAGTGACCTGAATATTGAATAAAACTGAACCAACAGTCAATTCAAATACACCTGCACTCTTGACTTTTAAAAATTCTTTATACAGAAGGATGCTGGCAGGTGAGTGGCAGAAAATTTCTTGACAGCAGTCGTATTGTGTTTTTAATCTCATGCACCCAAACAGCCAAAGACAAAGAATGTATGAGCTTCATCCACTTGAGATAGTTATAGTTTTCCTTGTTAAGAATTTCAGAAAAGAAACTCACTAAAGAGATTCATGGCTGGGAATATAGTTCAGTCATAGGACATTTCCCTGACATGAGTGAAGCCCTGGATTCATTATTTAGCAATGAAAAAAATTAAATGAACATGATATTGGTGTCACACATAGCTATATAAATAAATTAAAGTCTGTTTTATGTTCTGTTCTGTGTAAAGTGTGAGATAGAGGGTGGATGTCATCTTCTGGCATGTGGACAGTTGAAAGTGTCTTTTCCCCAGGGAATTTGCCCAGTACATTTGTTGAAAATGAGTTGACCATAAATGTAACAATTTATTTCTGTGCTTTCACGTCTGATTCAGTGATTTATATGTTTCTTCCTACCAATATCACAGTATGTTAATAGCTATAGTTTTATAATAGGGCCATTTAAAAAATTAGATCGCTTCTCACTGTGTAGTCCTGGCTGGCTTGGGGTTCTGGACCGTTCTATGTAGACCAGACTTGGCCTCATACTTCCCAAGAGCTGGGATTACAGATATATGCTATAATGATTGCTTATGTCAGGGTCTGAAATTGAGAAATATAAGCTCCTACTTTGTTATTATTTTTCAAAATTATTTTGGCATCCTAGGTCTTTTTCAATTCCATATAAAATTTTAGGAATATCTTACTATCTTCTGTCAAAAGCCTGCTTAAATTCTGGTAGGAATCATGTTGAGTATCTGAATCAACCAGGGGAGAATGGCCACCTTGACACATGCAGCTTTTTCTTCCATGTATTGAATATTTGAACTCACTTGTCTATTTGTCTAGCATGACCTCCTGTCTTTTGAAGGTAATCTGTCTTTTTTTTCTACCCCTTTGGTTCCTTTTAAAGCCTTTCTTTTTGCTTTTTGCTTTAGACAAGTTCACACTGATATGTCTGGGTATGGATGGATTTCTTTTTATTTATATTGTTTAGAAGTTTATGGCTTCTAAAATATGTGAATTGGTATCTTTTACTGGTTCTGAAAATTTTATCTCTTCAAACACTATATCATCTTTTTCATCTATCTATCTATCTATCTATCTATCTATCTATCTATCTATCTATCATCTATCTATCTATCTATCTATCTATCTATCTATCTATCTATCTATCATCT